CCGCGCCCGCGCTCATGGCGGCCGCCTCCTTCCTGCCGCCGGTCCCGCTGCTAAATGCCTCTTCACCCCGCGCGCCGAAAATGCAGGGAGCTAGGTGTGGGCTCTTCTGAGAACCCAGCGTCTACTTATCGCTGCACCACTTCGGCTTCGGATAGAACTGGTGAAGATACTTCCCAGCAGTGTGACAACGTTGAACTTGAACCTGAACCCTGTGACTGGGAATGTTGAACTTGAACCTGAACTCTAAGACTCTGGAAAACGACGGTTAAAGAAATCCTCCCCCCGACCCCACTCCTTTGTGTTGCTGAAAGGGTTTACAGCAAAGAACCACCTTCCTTCCCCGTGTGATTTAGATGTGACTCACGGAGGCCCCCTTGTTTACCTGTGACAAGGTCAGACACAGACACTTCCAGTTCCCATCCTTGTTGCCTCATATTAAGATTAGCTGAACTTATTGTACTCACTGACCAATGGACAAAATACCGGCTACCCTGACTTGACAAAACTTTTGTTAAGCTTCTCTCAGGCCCCTAAACTTTGACCCACCCTCAACGTGAGCCAGCATACAGTCCCTCCTTATCCAATGCTCCAGAAAATAGGCTGATTTCGGTGTGAAACATTCTCTGATCTGCAGTTTATCAATGCTACCGCCACCCGTCTTCCCTACAGCCAGTTGGTTCTTTCTAGCCTTTGTTCACTACCCCCTATAAAAGAAAAGCCCAACTGATCTTGGAGACAGTTGCAGATCGTAGGCGTGGTCAGAATTCCCCTATAGCAATAGTCACTCCTCCCACACACACACCATTGTAATAGTCCCTTTCTCTCGGAATAATCTCTTCCAATAAAATCTCTCTTTACAGAAATCTAGGTGTGGGGTTTTTTTTATTTGTTTGTTTTTTGACAGCTGAGTATTCTTCCTGTGGTAACTCCCTTCTCTTCTTGCAATACTGTTGTCTCTTTCCTCCCTGTTGCAATAATCCTTTCCAAAAAAAGCTCTCATTTGCCTAAATCCCTATTTGTTTTTTATTTGACAGTTTTTAGTTCCAGGATTCAAATTGAGATTGAGTTTCACCTACAGACCCCATCCATCCCCTCCCCCCTCCCCCCAGGTAGATGCACCTTGTCTTTTGAACTCTTCTGTTCAGGGATTCTAGGATCTTGTGGTGAGTTCAACTTTCAAAACAGTGCTTCTGAAATTGTATCTGTTAATGCCCGCGGTAAATAGTTACTTTGATTCCTTTGGGCAAAGAGACTTTTTTTTTTTTTTTTTTTAGCCCTTATGAGGCCTCTTCTATCTTTTTTCTTTTTTCATCCCAGCACGACTTGATAAAGAGAAAAATCAATTGACCATAGAAGTATTGGTTCATTTCTGGACTCAAAATTCTATTTCATTTATTTAAAGGTCTATCCTTATGCCAGTACCATGTTTGTTTTGATTACTGTAGCTTTGTCTAGGTTTTCAAACCAGGAAGTGTGAGGCCTCCACCTTTGTTCTTTTTCAAGATCGTTTTGGTTATTACAGGTCCCTTGCAATTAGGATCAACTTTTCCTTTTCTGTAGGAAAAAGCTGTTGGGATTTTGATAGGGATTGCATTGAATCAATAGATCAGTTTGAGGAATATCGACATCTTAACAATGTTAAGTTTTTCAATCCATGAGTATGGATGTCTTTCCATCTACTTACATCTTCTTTAAATTCTTTCATCAGTGTTTTATAGTTTTCAGTGTAGAAGTCTTATAACTCCTTGGTTAAATTTATTCCTAAGTATTTTATTCTTTTTGATACTGTTGTAATAGAAATTGTTTTCATAATTTCCTTTTTATATTTTTCATCATTAGCGTATAGAAATACCACTTATTTTTGTTGTGGATCTTGTGTTCAGCATCTTTGCTGAATTCATTTATTAGCTCTAATAGTTATGTGTTTTTTTAATAGATTCTGTAGTATTCTGTACACATAAGATTATGTTGTTGACATAAGAATGTCCAAACCTGTGGAGAACTTTTATAAGAGTTTATTTGAGCCAAATTGACAAGAATTTCTGGGAAGCAAGTTCCCAAATGCTCCAAAGAATGGCAATTTGCAGCTTTTTAAAAATGTATTTGAAATAGAGGAGGGAATTTAAGGAAGATTATAGGAAGGTGGGAAAAAGTAAGGCAGGAACTGAATTACAGGATAGTTAACAAGATTATGTGTGAACTTGAGAGTGGTTACTATGAGGGGTATTATTTCTGGCATTTTAAAGGTGTGTTAACCTAGGTATGCAAGAACAGTGGATGGCTTGCAAAAAGAGCTTTCACTAAAGAGGTTATATGCCTGAGGCATGACTACCCACCATGATCTGCCCAGTTAGGAATTTATGATTTATTACAGCACCCTTTTTCCATCCACATCATTTGTGAATACAGATAGCTTTACTTCTTTTCTGATTTAGACGCCTTTTGTTTTTTCTCGTCTAATTGCTTTGGCTAGAAATTCCTGTATAATGTTAAATAGAAATGGCAAAAGTGGGCTTCCTTGTCTTGTCCCTAATCTTAAAGGAAAAGCTTTTGATCTTCCACCGTTGAGAATGTTAGTTGCCCTCTATCATGTCGAAGAGACTCCTTTCTATTTGTAGTTTGTTGAGTGATTTTATCATGAAAGATTGTTGGATTTTGTCAAATGCTTTTTTTAATGTCAATTGATCATGTGGTCTTTTCCTTTCATTTTATTAATGCGGTATATTATACTAATTATTTTTTTTTTAAGTATGAATAGTTTATTGGTTTCCTATTGATCTTTTAATTGGGGACCTGGGAAGTGGGTATTTGTACATCTATATTTAACCTTCCATTCTAACCTACTTAATTATATTCATTGAACAATATATTTTAATGCCCTTCTGTCCTCCCTATTAAGAAAAACAATGTCACATCTTGGACTTAGATCTAGGTATACTTACCTAATGTAACATGTCAAACAGATAAAGCCCTTAGTCCTAAGGCCAGTTATCAAAAAGTCCCTTCTTTTCTCATCAATTTGTAATGCTACCTCACATACCAAAATCTCCATGAACTCTGAAGACTATTTCTGGACCCTGGAGTCTGGGTCTGTATTCTGTTCTGGTGATCTATTTGTTGACTTCTGCAACAATAGCCTACTACTTGAAATATTGTAGATTTTTTGTTTTTGTTATTGCTTTATTTTCCATTTTTAAGTGTACAATTCAGTAGTATTAAGTACCTTCACAATGTTGTGCAATCATCACCACTACCCACTTTCAAGACTTTTTCATCACCCCAAAGAGAAACTCTGTACCCACTTAATAACTCTCCAATTTATTTCCCTCCCTCCCCCAGCCTCTGGTAATCTCTATTTTACTTTCTATCTCTATGAAGTTGCTCTGTCCTAGGTACCTCATATAAGTGGAATCATACAATATTTGTCCTTTTGTGTTTGCCTTGTATTTCACTTAGCGCTGTGCTTTTAAGGTTCATCCAACTTGTAGCAGGTATCAAAATTTTATTCTTTGAGTAATATCCCATTGTATGTATATACTACATATTATTTATCTATTCATTTGTTGATAGACATTTGGATTGTTTTCGCCTTTTGGCTATTGTGAATAATGTTGCAATGAACATTGGTGTACAAGTATCTGATTGTCTGCTTTCAGTTCTTTTGAGTATGTACCTAGACATGAAGTTGCTAGATACTATTTCTATGTTTAACTTTTTGAGGAAATGCCAAATTGTTTTACACAATGAGTGCACCATTTTACATTCCCATTAGCTATGTACGAGGGGTTCAAATCTCTCCATATCTTCATCATAATACTTATTTTCCATTTTTTGTTTGCTTGTTTGTATTTTTATAATGGCCATACTAATAGGCATGAAATGGTATCTCATTGTGGTTTTAACCTGTATTTCCCGAGTGACTAGTGATGTTGAGCATGTTTTCATGTACTTATTGATCATTTGTATATTTTCTTTGAAGAAATGTCTAATTAAGTCCTTTGCCTATTTTTAAATAGGGTTGTTGTTTGTTGTAGAGTTGTAGGTTTTGAAAAACGGGTTCTGGATATTTATCCCTTATCAGATTGCATGGTTTGCAAATATTTTCTCTTATTCTGTGGTTTGTCCTTTCACTTTGTTGATAGTGTCTTTTAATACATAAAAGTTTTTCATTTTGATGAAGTTCAATTTCTCTATTTTTTTCCTTTGCTTTTGATGTCATAGTCAAAAAACCATTGCCAAGTCCAGTGTCATGAAGATTTCTCCCTATGCTTTCTTCCAAGCATTTTACAGTTTTAGTTTTCAATAGGTGTTTGATCCATTTTGAGTTAATGTTTGTATGTGGCGTGAGATAAGGGTCCAACTTCATTTTTTTGCATGTGAGTATCCAGTTATCTCCGCATTACTTGTTGAAAAGGCTGTCCGTTCCCTATTAGCTTTACTTGCTGGTCTGGGTTCATGATGTGACTGACGTAGTTTTTGGTCCAACTGTTCCTTGGTATCTCACCAGCTCATATAGTTTTAAGTAAAATTTTGAAAACAACTTTTATCGACTTTTTATTTTAGTCATTTTCTCTAGGTCATACTGTGGAAAACAAGTAACTCTTTCATATCTTTTCCAAACCTTTTTTTCTTCTGTCTATGTTTCCTTTTATTTTGTGGTTCTAGATGCATCTCAGGAACCACTACATCTCAGGAGGCTTTTCCTAACATCCCTGCTTGAATTAGGGGTCTCTGCCTCATTCTTTCTTAAAACATCATATTGCAGTTTACTGGTTCCTTGCCTGTCTCCTTCATTCCCTCCTTGTCTGTGAGCTTTATTTCCTGGCCTGGCAAAGTATTTTAACACCAATTGAGTGTAAACATTTGTTGTTAATAAATGGCATAGGTAATAGTAACCCAACTCACAACCTGTCTTTTTCAAGTTACGACTACAAAAACAAACACAGAAACAAAACAAAGAAGGAAAGCACACAAAGCCTTTGCATGCTAATTTGCATACCATACACCTCTTCAGGACACTTCTACACTACTTAAAGCCAGCCTCTTTCTGCGGGAAATGAAATAGATTATTCTCTTCAATGATCTCATAGCTAACTGATGCAGAAAACCCAAGTCTGGTTCCATTCTGAGGTCTCCAAACCATAAGAGGCCGATTTTAAGTGGTGGATTGCGTCCTTGGGAGCGATGGTATGCAAATTAGTGTAAAAGGGATTTGTCTGCTTTCCTGGAATCCATACTGTTTCCCAAACAGAAAATCTGCATCCATTCCCAGTGGTATGCGCGGTTTTGTTGAAGGATTGGGAGCTTGGATGGCTGGAATTCTCAAATGTTTATGCATCTTGGCGATTTTTACTCGACTTTTCTCGAGTCTTCAATTTTTCTTAGTGTAGCAAACAGGAAGAACTTCTGCCCAATAAACAGTAGGCTATCTATCGCTAATCTACCGAGAATTTTTGAAATGAACATAATTTCTACTTCACAGCAGAGCTTTTCTATTGTGTGCTTTAATCTTTTTCTTTGAAAGTTAAGTCACAAATTTTAAATCTTTGTGTTCAGTTTTTTGTATTCTTAATTCTTGCGCTGGCGGGGGCGGCAATGATAAAGGAGGTTCTTAATTAGAATTCATTCTTTGAGACTCCGCCTTATATCCGGCTAAGGTTGTAATAAACGACCTTGCCTTGCTTTGTTTAAAGACGCAGGGTTCTAGCGTT